CTCACTTGAGAAAATAAAAGTACTTCTGGAACCAAGACTGCCAAAAAAGTGGGCAGACACTCTTACACTCTATTGGGATGCATTAATTTGGACCACTTTAATTACTTAATAAATAATTAATTAATGCTTGTTGCATAGTGACGCTTCTGCTTATTTTAACGGTTTAATGGGCTTGAGCAAACATCTGCCATGGGGAAAGCAGGGCCACATGAATCCATGCGCCCCAGTGAAACAGCTCTGTGTTCAGAGATATTATTGGAGCATGCTAAGGCAAGCAACACTAGTGCTCATACTTAAGAAGAGATCCCCATCCTTTACCATAAAAGTTAAACTTTGATGTACAACTTATCTTTTTGTTCTATGGACACAAATAATACCTAATATCAATACAGCATGTTGAGGAGAAGTGTACTATTACCTCTCTAAGCAATCAGACCTACAATTTTTGCCTGGCAGACAATAAAACAGGGGTAAAAATATCCCCTAGATTTACTTTGAAGGGCCATCAGCCATATAGGATGCTGAGTATTTGATAGTGGCCTCTTCTGACTTATAACCACCCAGAACACTCTTAAAACCTCTCAAAGCAAATTATAAAATGCATAGCAATTCCCATTCAAAACACACAAGCATCTTAGTGGAGAATTTTGCACTGTAGCAGAAACTGTGCAGAATACAGATCCCTATAAAATACATTTTATTTTATAAATGTATAATTTTTATTATATTTCTGGATTTGTTTCATTCCATTTAAATGTAATTTTACTAATCCAAAAGAATGTCTAATTAACTGAAATCATGAATCTTATACAACGTGTCGTGACAACAATATATTAAAAGTTCAATAAAATTTTATTTTTAGGTCCCTATGAAATCAGTTTCTTTTTTCCCCCCACAAATTCTGTTTTTTATTTTTCCCAAATTGAGGTTTTTCCATTAACATTTTTTGGATACCATTTTAATTGCTTAATTTAATTTTAATAAATCAAAAACAATGGGTAATCAGCTGAAATCTGTGTACTGTAAGTTCCATTTTTTGGACTGGATTCTGTGATTCCGTCCGCCTTTTCTGCATTGCAGAAATCATAGGACCCTAAGAATTGGAAAGGTGAAAAGCTTAAATCTTAAGCTTAAAAAAAAACATTTTTTTTTACACCACCACATATTCATATACCCAGTTTTGTTACGGTCAGTCAACTTTCAAGCTTTCAAGGTTAAATTCTGTACATCCACATCATTTAGATGCCAGTCAGCGACAGTCGAGGCTGTGAAAACTATGCCAATGAAAGCTGTCTCTATTTCGCCTTTTGAGAGGACTGGGACTTTGACCACAATTAAAAGAAATAATAATTTGCATACACACAAACTCACTGTCCTCAGCACGCCTTATTGACCTACCCACTAAATTGTTGGGCGGAGTTTGATGGCTCCACCCACCACCAATTTCTGCTCTAAACCAGCAATATGTGCTCAGGATACGAGATGACAGTCAGCTTTTCATAGATCTCTTCTGTTTAATGCCTTTGATGTTAATTACGACTAGCCTCTCCCATCATGTAGTGGGAAAAAAACTGTCTGACCTACATCACAGTGCCAAGATGAAGTATAAAATTGCAGAGCAATTTTAAAATGCATAGAGTCAGACTAAAACAGTTGTGAGCAAGCAGATGATGGAAGCATTTGAGCCGCTAAGCTTTAGTAATTATATTGCATCATATAAATGTGCTTGACACCATTCCCTCAAAACTGGCAAATATAATTGACTATTATTCATTATTATTACTTTGCAATGACTCGTTGAACCTAAATAACTCAATAAACTAAGGGAAAGAGGAGTAAAACTTAAAATAGAATGGACTCCCATTAAAAATCTACAGAACAACCCGATTTTCTGGACAAAAATAAAATTTTCTACCTACATATTATTCATTCAAGGGTTAAATGAAGGCGCTGGCCCAACTTAACCCATTCTCATGCTCTCTATCGTTCTCCAGCCTTCAAGGGTTTCTTACGTCAGGCTTTCTCAGATCACAAGAAGAAGGATTCTGTCTCAGTTTCAGAGAAGCCACAGAACTGACAAGATCCTTTCAGGTTCTGAATGTGACAGATCGAGACTGAATAAATTGTCACAACAGACTGACCCAGTTGGTTTTCATGAGATGTTTTGATGTATTTGAATATGAGATGTCATAATGACAAGGCCCTGTCTTAAAGGGACAGTTCATCCAAAAATGAATTTACTCATCTCATGCCATTCCAAAACTGTATGACTTTTTCTTCCGTGGAACACAAAAGATATTTTGAGAAATGTCCATACTATGGAAGTTGTTCCAATTGTTCCATTTGATTTGAGTCTAAAGTTCTTCAAAATTTCTTCTTTTCTGCTATGCTCATCCAAAAATGAATTTACTCATCTCATGCCATTCCAAAACTGTATGACTTTTTCTTCCGTGGAACATAAAAGAAGATATTTTGAGAAATGTCCATACTATGGAAGTTGTTCCAATTGTTCCATTTGATTTGAGTCTAAAGTTCTTCAAAATTTCTTCTTTTCTGCTACGCAAAAAAAAAAAACTATCCCTTTAAGAATCAGAGTATCACAAATACTATTCCACATTTCTTTTATACAGATTGAGATATGCTGAAATGGATATAAATCGACTGTCAACACAGTGCACTTCACTCAATTATAAGCTCCTAATATCTTGATTTTCAGCATGAACAGACATGTAATAGGACGAAACACATTGCAGTCAAGTTTACTTTGACAGCTGATCTACGAGAATCTTCTTAAAGGAATGATCCCCAGTCTTGAGTTTGCACTTGGGACAGCACTACAATCCGCAAATTAATCTAATTCCATCTAAATATTTCTTTGTACCAACAAAAAGCATCTAGCAGCATTCATTTTTTTCTGTAGCTAAATTTAAATTCTTATTCTGTCTTTATAGTGTTCTCTGATTCATAGCACTCCGCATACAGGCAAGACTAAATGTGCTCAATTTGTAATCTACCTAAATTATTACTGTTATTAAAAATGATACTAATCCAGTACAATTGTTTGTAAATGTAAGGAATTGCTTAGGTTTCAAAACAACACGCTCCAGTCCGTGACATGGATTAGGGTAAATCTAAAACCAATGCAGATGAAGTTCCACACAAGCAAGAAAAGTAGACTTAAAAGTCTTTGTCATCATGTTGACAAGCTGTAGAAGATCTGACCGGCTTTTAAACTAAAGTGGACATTTTGAAGATAATTTTCAAAAACTTCTGAAGAGATAGGCTAAGAAATGAGAGAGTTTCAAAGATTAAAGACACCTTCAGAGCCCGATACCGATATGGTGGCCGATATATCGTGCATCCCTACTTTAGATTCTGAAAGATGTGAGTCTCTTAGGTTGCAAATTCAACTTAAGGCCTTAAATATTTGCTTGCATTTTGTAAACAAAGACGGAAAACAATTATGTAGCCAAAAAACAGGTCAAAGGTTTGTTCTGATAAAGTCACTGACATGAGGGGATAAACAATGTTAAATATGCAAATAATAAAATAACTAACTATACACTATAACTGTGCAAAGTTATGATAGCAAAATAGACAACTTCTAAAATGGAAGGAAAACGTGTGTCGTCGTCTCATGTTTCCATCTAATATCTAATCAAGGATAAATATGATTTGTGCAGACCACAATGTGTTTTTGAACACATTAATTTCGAAAATCATTTGTCATCATGTTGGAAAACAGAATCCAACCTGCGTTTAAATTTCCCCAAAATGTTTTCACACTGTCTTCAAAACTTCGCATTGCATTAAATCAGTTTTAAACGTCTCCCACAAAAGTCTTAAAGGGGTCATATGATGCGATTTCAATTTTTCCTTTCTCTTTGGAGTGTTACAAGCTCTTGGTGCATAAAGAAGATCTGTAAAGTTGCAAAGACTAAAGTCTCAAAACCAGAGATATTCTTTATAAAAGTTCAGCGTTAACCACGCCTACCTAAAACGGCTCGTTCTAATACGCCCCCACATATCTACGTCACGATGTGGGAAGATTTGCATAACGCCGCCCAAACGTTCATGCAAAGAAAGAAGGCGTAACTTTTAGTTTCGCTGTAGTATTGTTGTTGCCGCCATGTCCTGAAGACGCTGTGTGCTTGGTTGTGAAAGCGAAACTACTTTGTTTGGTCTTCCAAAAGAGGACGATATCCGCTTCGTCATGCCTGGAGCTGATCTGTGCTGGTCGCTGAGGGAATACATCAACTTTCACCGTGGACAAAGCCCGCCTCAGCTCACTCTATCCCGGCCTCAGCACACGCTAAGCCGGGGCTTCCCGTCACGGTAGGCCACTGTGTTTTTCGTTGCCACTGATGATTCAAACGCGAGTTTTGGGCAGTAGAGTAGCACTTGTTGTTTATGATTTCTCCGATCACAAATGCAGACAGAGTTTTATAGCGCTCCAGAGCGCTATTCAAGGCTAAGTGTATCCCATCATGCATCATGTTCTGGAAATAATCGTGAGACTTTTTGCCGAGATCTCGCGAGAGGTCACGGAAACCCTTCCAATGCAAGTTAAACATTCATATAATAATTAGATATTACAAATAATTTGGTAGAAAAACGGCGTTTTTACGTTTTATTGGTGCAACGATGAGTTGTGGTGATATTTATTTTGAACAACATTTGCAACTGCTTTTTATCACTTAATTAGAAGCACCACAAATTAAAATTATGTCATGTTATAGGGACTACGGAAAAGACATTTAGAAGTTGATTTTAAAATGCAAAGTATTTCAAATGAAAATAAAGCTGTGTAAACACTCGCATTTTTACAACACTATAAGTGTGTCCCATCAGGTAATGAAAAGCTCGACACGCACTTGTGGTCTTCACACCCACTTGAAGACTTCGGCCAAATACAGGAAATACGTCATTTAAGTAATCAAGTGGTCAAGTGCAAAGACTGCAAGTGTGGGTATTTGGACAAAGCCTAAGCCATCACTTACCTGCAGCAGGTGAATCAGCGATCACCATGGAGACGACCGTCAGCAGCACGCACGCGGTGACCCGACTACGTCTCTCCATCATTAGACCCTCCATTTAGCGAAACTCATGTTTCGTCCAAGGTGATCCGAGGAGAGATAATCCACGCGTTTAACTAGTCGCCGTGAACTGCAGCAGATGAAAACAACACCAGTTATATAGGTCACATTTTCAGTCCTATTTTCAGCATGACTTCATGAATACTCCCGAAACCAAATCTAACGATTTTAATCATAAACCGAACAAATGACATCTTGCATATCACTAAAAACCGAAATTTAAATCACAGCTGTAGATTTGAACCACTAAAACGAATTGCCATGCTTCCCCGCGCTGACAGAGCTCGGACCGCACGGTTCCTTTGTTCCTTAACTTGTACGACTCATTTCCGCGAATCGGTTCTCTTGAACGATTCATTTCAAACAACCAACTCATGGCGCGATTACGTCATCGCGTGGTCCCTGCCATCCAGTCGTGACTTATTACACGCTCCAAACGTTCCAGTAAAGTCATGTACTGTAGGTAAATACTGCTGTTTATTACATTTGAACGAATACGTTTTAATATTAAGCGTGTTCATTTAAATGTTCCAATTGTTTGTTGCAGACATGAGTCAGTCTGTGAAATAAGCATATTTCCAGCGATATTGACAAAAAATGACATCGCGATATTTTCTGGGATTTTTATCATGACGATAATTAGACGATATTTTGCTGAGTGTGTTATTGTGCTGGTATCTTAAGGACTGCCGAAGACAGCTGACTCCTAATGTTTTTAATATTCTTCATATTCTGTGTGGTGTGGTCAGTTCATACTGATAGAAATTAATCTTTTCCAATAGGTTTAAACAGATTTTTACATTTTATGGGCGTTTTTACCTTTATAAAGCCATTTTTTCTAGAAGTGTCCATTATCTTTTGAGTCAAATCCTTACATTTAATCAGGGAATTAGAATAATAAGACATTTGGGCTATTACCAAGCAAATGAAATCAACACAGAAGCTGCATCTGAAGTGGCATTTAGATGTATTTACACACATGTATTTTGTTTAATGCAAGACATGAACGCATTTAACCTGCAATTACAAATGCATAAATAATGTTTTGATATATTAAACATAAAACGTTGAATACTGATATTTGAAATGATTTAAAACATGAAAAAAATCGATTAAAAAAAAGAAAAAGACGAAATTTGAAATTAAAAGCGCCAGTAGGTGGCAGCAAATCACTGTTGATAAGTGAGTCACTGCGATTGAAACGAATCATTTAAACGGTTGATTCATTCAGGAACGAAACACCGGCATGTTGCTCAGAGACACAAAACAGCGCTGTGGCTCTATTCAGAATTATTTTTGTTGGCGAAATAGAGCAAAAACAAGCAATATGGTGTCTAAAACGTAAGTCTCTTAATTAACTTATTGTTTATTGAATTCAATGTCACATTTGTAATCATAGTATTTTTTTGGAGAAAAACGGCACTCTTCGTGTGAAATTGAATAACTATATGAAGCGGCATAAATATAAAAATGTTCTGCCATGTCTTGAATTTGTGATCATTCTAAATGCATTTTAATAGACTGAATCATGCAGTGAAAGAACGCACTCGCACTAGTCTAGACTTCACGTAATGCATGCGTGCGCTCTGTAGGGATGTTTTGAATGGTTTCTGCAAAATACTCGATAATGTCAAATCGCACATCGTTAAAACAACAATTACGATATTATCGCAGACGATATATATCGCACACCCCTATTTCCAGCTCATTTTATTTGCACCATTTCTGCTATTCGACTATTAAAGTGACTTTACGTCACATTTATCAAATCCTCAATTCACTCCAAATGTTTAATAACTATTCGGAGGCGGTGAATTGCACCCTTCTCGAACCGCCAGGACCGATTCAGGCAGATTCGTGAACGAATCCTTTTCGACCGGTTCAAGAGATTCATTAAAGAAGATTCAGTTCACAAGAGCGATTCGGACATCTCTACTGTGTGCACTAATACACGAAGAGCAAGATCCAAACATTGTTTGAATCTTGTGTGTTGCTTTCAAAGGACAAAACTCACACGTTGACATATACAGCATGCCTTACAATCAGTGGAAAGGTTTGTGAACTCTCGTTTGGAAAGGCTTCTTGTCGGGATTTCCAGTAAATGTTTATTTTAAAGCCAAGAAAGACTTTTAGCACACCCACAGCCTCGAAAAGCATCTCCTTACCTTCAAAGCAGACAGTTACAGCGGTCTGAAGTCGATTTAGCGTCCAGATCCAGTTTTAGATCAGGATTAAAGCTTCTGTTTTGCATTATTGCGTGACACAACGGATGATTTTTTTTCTTCCCGTAAGTGTCTGGATCCTGTCTGAGCATCACTCACTTTCTCAGATGCAACCACTCTGTGTTCGGGACTGCACTAAATCCTCTCTTGACAGCAGCACTTGGAGTCTCTTGCACGGGCTCTACGGTCATTGGCTCCCCGCGCCGTCCTTCAGTAGCTAATCTGGGTCTGTGCTTTCACGACATTGACTTGAAGTGTGTTTTCTGTGAAGAGGAAAATGAGAGTATTGTTCATTTATTTTATGAGTGTATTATACAAAATTATTTTGGTGTGATTTTTATTTTTTTTTGTTAAACAAAGTATTAATGTTGAATTGCAACTCAAAGTAAATGATGTTTTATTTTTTTATGAGTATACTGTTGAATTTACTCATTTATATATGAAAAATTCTTTATTCACAAATGTGATTGGGCAGTGAAAAAACCTCATTTGACTCATTTCAGAATAGAAATAGGTCACTACTTGTATACGTTAAAAGAAACAAGAAATAACGCAAAAAAACAACAACTGTAAATTACTTTAAAGCCTTAAATCTATTCTTTGAATAATTTGTAATTATTTGTACTTGTTTACAGACGTGAGATTTTTTTTTATTGCTTTTCTTATTTAATTTTTATTTAAGTATTTGTTTTCATTCGGTTTAAATGTTATTGCCCTTATATGTTATTTGTTCTAAAATTTGCAATAAAAAATTATTAATAAATAAATTTAAAAAACGCGTTTTGTTACCGGATCTTGTGTGGCTGCATAATTTTCACCTAAACCAGGTTAAAAACAGTTTAGGGAGGTTTTACATGTTTTATTTTTAAAGACTGGGAATATTCCGATCATTAAACTATTCGGTACAAGAATTATTTTGAGTTTGATTATGTCACAGCACACTCTAGTGGCTATTGAGGCGGGCAACAGCACATTTTTATGGTCATGAATTTTTTTTTTGCAAAACGTGAATCAATCTGAACCTGGCTGGAACCATTTGTTGTTGTTGTTTTTGCCAGCGTTCTCGTCGTTTGTATGTTTATTTATTCAATATATATTTTCATTTAATTTATTTTTCATTTAATAAAAAAAGGTGCACCAACAGAATGAACAGAAATCCATCCAAATCTAAAAATTCTATCCAAATCAAAAATACATCCAAATCTATGTAATAGATTTAGCCAAAAAACAAACAAACAATGTGATGAAAAATTGTTTTAAATTGTATTTGTACTGTGGAGAGGGTGAGCAGCACCAAGTTCCTGGGTGTGCACATCACAGAGGATCTCTCCTGGACTGACAACACTCGCAGCACTGGCCAAGAAAGCACAGCAGCGTCTCTACTTCCTCCGCAAACTGAGAAGAGCCAGAGCCCCGGCCCCCATCATGTGCACCTTCTACAGAGGCACCATCGAGAGCATCCTGACCAGCTGCATCACTGTGTGGTATGGCGCCTGCAACGCGTCCTGCCGCAAGACACTTCAACGCATAGTGAGAGCAGCTGAGAAGATCGTTGGTGCCTCTCTCCCCTCCCTTCAGGACATCTACAACACCCGTCTCACCCGCAAAGCCCTCTGCATTGCAGGTGATCCCACCCACCCGACACACAGCTTCTTCAGTCTGCTGCCATCAGGGAGGAGACTGCGGAGTCTCCAGGCCAGGACCAGCAGACTGAAGGACAGCTCCCTCCCGACCTTGCCCCCCCTCCCCTCTTTTGCCCCACGCACCACTGAACTCTGACCCTCTAACGGACTCTCCCACTCCCCCCTCCCAAATACACACACACACTGTCACTTTAATCAGTCGAAATAAGCTCTTTTGCACTACAAATCATTTTTTTTGCACTACA